TCTTATCCTGGGGAGCCCAGAACTGCACCCAATACTCCAGGTGCGGCCTCACCAGAGCTGAGCAGAGGGGCAGGATCCCCTCCCTCCACCTGCTGACAACGCTCCTCCTGATGCAGCCAGGATCCCATTGGCCTTCTTGGCCACTAGGGCACATTGCTGCCTCATGGTTAACTTGTCAACCAGGACTCCCAAATCCCTCTCTGAGGAGCTGCTTTCCAGCAGGTCAACCCCTAATCTGTCCTGCTGCCTGGGGTTATTCCTCCCCATGTGCAGGACCCTGAACTTGTTCTTGTTGAACCTCATAAGGTTCCTCTCTGCCCAACTCTCCATCCTGTCTAGGTCCCTCTGAATGGCAGCACAGCCCTCGGGAGTGTCGGCTACTCCTCCCAGTTCAGTATCATCTGCAAATGTCTTGTCAAGGAGGAACAGCATCACAGAAACACCAGACAACCCAAAATAAAATATGGCATCTAACTATAACATGTTTCAACTCAAGTCAGCTTTCTAAGTACTGCAGGTCTAAATTAATACTCAGAGACAGGAAGAGGTTTGCTACCAACTGCAGCCCTTCTGCTTAAGCTTATGCTCGTTTTGCTTTTTGATACCCTTGTTATGACTAGAAAGGTTACAAGCAATTACCTTTTAATAAGAGATAAGAGGAAAATAATCAAGACTGTACAGAAACTCCTTAAGTAACTACAATGTGCTAGGCACACAACTGCTTCAAAACAAAAAGATGCAGAAGATGCTATTTTAAGACTTACAAACCTGTGTGTTCTCATTTAACTCTTTGTCCTGTTGCCATGGTGAGACAGAAGCAGGCAAATGAAAGGAGATACAGCCATTATGAGAACTCAGTTCAGTGAGGTAGGAGATTTTGATGAGGACTGTAGAATTTGGTGGCAGGTTTCCAACACTTATTACAAAAATATCCTAAAAGACCAAAAAAAGAGGAGGAGGGAGAGATCATCATTAAAGTCTGCATTTTCCCCTCCAAAATTTAATTGTTGTTTATGCACACTGAGATCAAACAATAGCACAGAAAATACTACTTTAAATGGGCAAAACTCATCAATTATAAGAAAAAAGAGGAGCCTTTGTAAAGAAATCTAAACTTCTTAGTGAAAGAAAAGCTCCAGAAAGACATATCTTACTTAAGTAGCACATATAGAAAGAAAAAAAGAATACTTGTTTTTAAAGTGATGTCATGTAGAGCCTAAATGAGTTCCAATAAAAAGAAGCTACCCAAGAAAGAGATGATTCTCTAAAGACTCCAATGGGAATATGCACTCATGTCCTAAATTATGTTTTGTACCCTGACCATTCCAAAATTTTCAAATAGGTAAACAAACCACTATATTCAACATACTGGTGCATCCTGGTCCATTAGATAAGCTCCATCACTCTATCTGATAGCTTCTCTATATTCTCTATGTGCTTGTGTCTCCTTCTTTAACCTATGAAATGTTGTTCCAAAACAGTACAGAATACAATAGTCAATATCACTTCAAATGACACGACTACCTTGAAATCCAGCCAAGTGGCAAGAATAAAGAACTTGAGAAAAAAATCAAATCAAATACTTTTGAGTCTGGAGATTGGCCGCACCTAAGTGTAACATCTTACCTCTCCAGTGATGTGTTTTCCATTGATAAAAGCTTCAAATACACACACAGCAGCTTTATCATCCAAAGGAAAGACATATTTAGCTTCAATCAGACTACTGCTTTTATTGGTGTAAGTCTGAAATATCACTACCTGAAATGAATTAAAATAAGATAAAAGTAGCAATATTTCAAGTGAAACAGCATACCCACTTTGTACTGCAAAGTGTCAGTAAGTATGCCCTAACTGGAAGGTGCATTAGAAGTGAATGTAAAACCAGTGTGTAAAGAATAGGTGCATCCACAAACATGAAGGAGCTGTGGAACTTTTAATCTTTATATCATTAACCAAATCTCTTCCAGAAGAAAAGTAAACCATGATCTTCTACATGTTACTTGGTCTACCAGTAGAGCTTGAGCTGTCAGGCTACTCTTCACAAAACAAGGGCCCACATTAAAAAGCCACCACTGCAATATGTCTAAAAGTTTCAAGCTCATAAAAACTAAACGAAGAGTAAACCGTCACTAAAAAAGGGTCTATTTTTAGGATATACTGAAAAGGATGTTTGGAAAAGCCAATATTCTTTCTATATGCCAGTACTTATTTTCTAATTACAGAATTTGTCTCTGAAGTGGCAGATTGTCCAACTTCCTACATCTGTTCTTCTGTTTAGTCGTGTCCTAACAAGATCCCAGGAGTTCCTCATCTCCCTTTGCTGGCACTTCTGCTGAGCCTCATAATCTGATGATTTCTGCTTTATGCTCCGTTCCTCAGCCTTCGAGATTATTTTCTGCTTTGGTAGACTGGGTCATAAAACTGATACTACTGGACAGTAATTCATTTCTGTAGAAAAACACAGATTAAAATAAGACATTCTCTCATGAGAAGAACAGTTGTTAAAAAGAATCACCCTAATCAGATAACAATTGCGAGTATCAGGTTCATCTGAAGAGGATTCTTTAAAATCTCTTTTTCTTTTCCCCCCCATTTGTTCCCTGCTTTCTTTACCAAGGCTTTAGTTTAGCAAAAATTAAAGCAAAGGCTTTAGTTTTTTAACTAAAAAAACTAAAAATTTTACTATGGCACTTGAAAGCCATTCTTGTGGAAAACCATTTTAGTGCAGTGAGACACGTCCAACACGCTGGTTCGCAGCGTGATTGAGATCGCTCTATACAGAACTCAGCTGCAGAGGGAGAATTTTAGAATTATATTGCCGGATAAGTAAATACCCATGACTTGATGTGACAAAATTTATTTGCAAGGCACAAATATTAAAATAAGGTGAGCCCTTAACTTTGCTTTGCTAAATTTTATTAGCTAATTTTCAGATTAGAATATCATGTTCTTTTTGAGACAGCTAACTTGTCTAACCAAAGTTAAAAACAAACTACAAAAATGTAATTCCAGAGACCTCCAATCATACCACACATTTCTGACTGGTTTCTAATTCAAGTAGCCAATAGATTATCAAGGAACTCTTCAATATATAAGAGAATGTATAAGCTGCTGCAAAAAGCTTCTTTTCAGTGGCGACAAGATGACGCAAAGACAGAAAAAAACCCACAAAAAACCAAAACAGTCAAGCTTTTCACTGACCAAAGAGATTTTGTCATTTGTTGACTATGCTTCTTTATGAATAAAATCTGCTTTCTCTCACTGTCAGAATTGAGCTTCACTTAGAGACTGAACTTTTTTTTTTTTAGTAGCTATATAACAATTAGCACTATATAACAATTGCAATATTTCAGGCCTCCACAATGGCAAAGGACAGTAAGTAGTGTACTCTACCTGTGCTACAAAGTCTATCATCCTCCCCTTGATGTTAACACTTTCCAGAGGGACTGGATTTCCTGATCTGTCCTGAAGACCAGCTTTTATGGCATTCATGGGATCTGCACTTGGAAGGGCATAGCCTAAACAAAGAGTGTAAGAAAGATTAGGAAGGCATCTTTTGAGATATGTGCCTGTGAAGGACAGCTGAAAATAACCCTATCCATCAGTGGCTCATGTTTATCTATGGAATTCCGAACACATAAATTAAAAGTAATACTCAGGTTCTGTTAGGAAGCCTAAGCCTGCCTAAGCAGGACTTCTTATGAAGTCTAGGTTTAGACACTGGCATTTGACTTATTTAGAACCAGCTGATGATTTATGCAAAAGCATTTCCTGCTAGGTCTCTTGAAACACACTCTGACAGAGGCAATTGCAACTGCTGTCAGTAATCATGCCTGCAGGAAATCTGTGAAACAGATGCTGCACACATGCCACATGGTCATGTCTAATTTGGCAACATCTGCAAACCAACTGCATTTTTTTAATTAAAATGCTATTTTCATGCTCTAGGAAGTGCTGTGATAAATATTTAGGGCATCCTAAACAATCAAATTACAAAAACAAAATATTTCTTACTCTCATGTTGCAAAGAATGTTGTGATACTCACTGATCTTGCTCCATCACAGCTTAAGGCTGAAATGGTTTTATTTGGTCTTCAGCAACACAAAGTTTAACAACGTATCTAATTTTAACTTGATTGGTTTTATACACAACAAATTCATCATCCTGGTGAGCGGAAAAAAAAAAGACATTTTGTAAGAAAAACAAGCTATTACTAAAAAAATGATAGTTGGGTTCACTTTCAAAACAGTGAACCTTCCGTTACTTCTTATTCCAATCACAGTAGAATATCATTTTCAAATAACATTCCAATATAAAATCTCAGATATTTATATAATAATTCAGACATCATAAAAAGGATATTAACTTTTTCCATATAGTTATTTTTTCTTGCAATATTTTTAAATCTCTTTAAAAACAGTAATAAAAAGAATCTTAGAAGTTTTATTATGTGCTTTCTAGATAGTAAGATAGATACTCGCTTTACTCCTCTATCTACTGATCTAGGGTCTGAACTGAAACACAGGTTACCTTGTGTTTATTATCTATCACTGGTACAATACATTCTGACTTAGTATCTTTTAAAGTGCCTAACACTGTAGGATCAGTACCTAAAATCTGAAGAGACATCTGGTGTTTTACAGACTCTCTGCACACTCATCACACACATCACACGAAGCTTGTTTTTCTGTACAGAGTATTTGAGGAATGATTTTTGTATATCTGGGCTAATTTGGGGCCAATTCATATTGTGCAATAACAAATTATTCAGAAGATTAAAATAAAATGCACTTTACAGAAAAAGCCCACAGAGAACCAAGGAAGCCTATTAATTTTTTTTTTTTAAAAAAAACACCATTCAAGGCAATATTTAGTCTTCAAGATTGATTACATAAGCAATAAAGACTGTTTGCTTTTTCTGTGTTTAGCAGAATGCCACCTAAGTAAAAGAATTTTAAAGGGAGAGCTGGGGGGGAATGATATTTGGAAACTTTTTCAGTGTTTGATTTGCAAATATTATTAGTGTGGAGATTCCATCCTTAGACTTTCTATAAAACATTTGATTTATTATTGATGGATGCCCTCATAAATCCTTTATATAAAAGGAATGCAAAAATAAAACATTTAAGCAAGTTCAACAGTTCCGTAACCTACAGTTAAAGTCTGCAGTCTTAATGAAAACCGAATGCTAATATGAATTTGAAATGAATTTCATTGTGATTGTATTATGCAGACATACTGAAAATTTAAGGACAATGAAAAGAGCACCTAGTATGCACCACATACACACTATGATTAGTATTTAAATATAAATTTGGGTGTATGAGGTTATATTATAATAGGTTCTATTATTTTAGCCATGAACATTATTACCATGTTTTGAGAACTAATAGAATTTGATCACAGAACAAGATGTCAGGTTACTCCAGAAAATTAGTTGGCATATTTTAAAATAAACATAAGATGATCATAGAGAAATAATGTATACAGGGAAAGGAGGACATCATCAATGGAATCCTTTCCTGAAACACAGGATAAATTAACCACAGAGCCATTTTTATCCTCACTCCCTCCATTTTGCCATCCTTCCATGCAGATTTAAACTATGCTCCTCACCATATCCAAGTATTTCCATCTCAAATCTAACCCATTTGGAGAATAACTGAATTCAACATTACAAACAACTGATTTTCCTTTTAGAGGTCTGTAGAAGTATCTGGGAGTATTTGCATAAATCTTAACAATTAGGCTAAACGTAATGTAAAAGGGCTTTATAAGAGACAATTAATGAAGTTAAAATAGTAGAATAGAAAATAACTAATCCTAATTCAGCTTTATAAAAGAGAGAATGTAAATTTTTACCTGCAGAGAATTCCCACAAAGTTGCGCATAAGTGATGCGTGGAATAAGGACCGAATATTTCCAAGACTGCTCAGAATTTCTGCTGTTTCACCTGTTCTACCAACTCTATATACTTGTAACATTCTCACTAGACAGTCACTGCAAGAAATTTGAAATTATCTTTGGATCATATTATATGACTCATACAACATATAATATATGACATTACTCATAATATGCAGTCAGGATCAAACTACTACTAACAGATAAAGGCTGACTGAATTCTCAGATTAACATTCAAGAAGTTTTTTTGACAACTTCTAGAGAAAAACAAGATAACAGAGCACTTACTGAAATCACTGGAGATACTAAAAACCTAGTGACTAAAGTCAAGTGCTACTTGGAGATTTAGAGATCCAGCAGAATGTTTTTTTTCATGCTTAAATTCAGACTACGGACTAAGGACTGAGCTGCTTCACAGCATCAGGACAGCCGGACCTTAAGGAATACTCAAAAGACAATTTTTAAGGGATACCTAACTGTGACACAGCGATGTACTTTGGGATTTACAAATTTCGATTCCTTATTGGTCACAGTATCTTTGGATCATATTATATGACTCATACAACATATAATATATGACATTACTCATAATATGCAGTCAGGATCAAACTACTACTAACAGATAAAGGCTGACTGAATTCTCAGATTAACATTCAAGAAGTTTTTTTGACAACTTCTAGAGAAAAACAAGATAACAGAGCACTTACTGAAATCACTGGAGATACTAAAAACCTAGTGACTAAAGTCAAGTGCTACTTGGAGATTTAGAGATCCAGCAGAATGTTTTTTTTCATGATTAAATTAAGACTACGGACTAAGGACTGAGCTGCTTCACAGCATCAGGACAGCCGGACCTTAAGGAATACTCAAAAGACAATTTTTAAGGGATACCTAACTGTGACACAGCGATGTACTTTGGGATTTACAAATTTCGATTCCTTATTGGTCACAGTGATTAAATACCAAAAGTAGGCATTGCTTGGGAAACAAAAGCATAAATCAAAGTTACACTTTTAAGGACCAGTGAATATCAGCCAGATTTGAGTTAAACATTAAACAAAATCATAGGCAAAGCTGCAGAGTAACTTTCCAAAAAATGAATAGTTACCCAACTGAAAACTAATTGGAAAAGAAGTTCTGTAAATATTCAAGAGATGACCAAGTTTTCCCCCCCCACCATTATCAGTGCCTTCTAATAATGCACAGAAAACTTGTTTTATTTGAACTCAGCAGAACTCTATATTTTCTAACTTTTAGGTTACACTATAAAATATCTGGAAATAAACACTGAAAAGCATAAAAAAATAGCCTAAAATGTATACAGGCTATTTTACTAGCTTCTATAAATAGTCACCATTCCAAAATAAAAAATTAACAATGTCATCATTTTCAGTTTTCTGAATTTACTTCTATTTGGTTCTGGTTTAGAATATGGTAAATATGTCTGTTCCACAATCCCATTTGTTCTAGAGAGAACATTATACTCATGTAAATCAAAACTGCACTGTAACAAAACCTGGTAATTCAGTTCACTTTAGAGGTATATCGTGCATTATCCCTGGAATGGTATAGGATCACTGTATAATCGCTGAACACTCACTTGTAATTCTTTTATAACAGCTGTTCTTTAATACTGAGAAATTTGTAACTCTCCGGGGAAACAGCTTCGATCCTGGACCTGAGAGCCTGGTATTTGGCCAAAAATGATGGGTTTGGGGATGACATATTTGTTTCACGTATATTAAGTATGTCTCGGATTAACCAGAAAATAGGGATAGAAATTAACATTGTAGCATGGTTAACACATATGAATGAATAATAAGGATTTTTTTTTTCAGTTAATTCTGCTGCAAATGAATACTTGGTATGTTTTTAATTAGGGAAGCACACAAAACTCGAACTGAATTACATAAAGTTATACTGTAAAATCACTGGAGCATAGAACATTTCCATCTGTCAGATATAGTGAAGAACAAGACCAAATCATCTATTGTTATACTGTAAAATCACTGGAGCATAGACCAAACACGACCAAACCAGCTATTCCATCCCATGAAAACAAATCAGAATAAAAAGGCATGTGAGAAATGGTTAAATTGCTTTTGTACAACTCCAGATCCAGTTCTGGATGGAGACTGCTCATAAAAGCTCCACAAACCAGAATTTGTGGATTTTTCATTTTGCTTACAAGGCAATCCTTATTTATTTGAATCTGTCATATCTTGTTGGTGGTACCGCTATCTAGTTAGGATAACAGAACAAGGCATCCACGTAATTTTCACAGACCAGGAGGAAAAGCACTGTTAATAGAAGAATTATTATTACATTTCACTTAAGTCATAGTAAAGTACATGGACATAACAGCAATGTACAGGACATAATCATTTCTTGTCCTTGGTCTGTGGCTGAGCTATGTTGCAGATACGTCTGCACCTGGCCTGGTACCTCCCCAGTTGTGACTCTGATCCTGCAGACTTGACTTCCTGGCTTCACCTTGGACCTGCTAAGGCCATAATGGTGAGGGGATCTGTTGTCTGCCCCTGGTTACTGCTGCTGGCACTCACTGCCCCCTGCTCTGCTCTTCTTGCTTGGTACTGTAGGCCTGTGCCCTGGCTGGTGAGGTAACTGCCCTGGTCTTCCTCACCTCCACTCCTGGCTCACTCGCCCCTGCTCTCCCTGGCACCCGCTGGCTGAATGAACTGCTTAAAAACAAGCTAATTAACAGAGGAGATCAAAGAAGGGGGAGATTTTCCTAGGAAGGTCAGCTGCCAAGAAACTATTTGTATGTTTAGACGTGTCAATTAACTCCTTGCACAGAGAATCCTGGGGGACTACACCCTAGTTTGTGTTGTAGACCTACGAACTGATCAGACTGTACATAGATAGGTAATTTTAATCAGCTTCTTGAAACTGTTCCTGCATATGCAGTAGAAGTCATACAGAACAGTCTTCAATACACTAATAAAATAGTTAATATATGTTTTGTGTTGGTTTAAGTGCAGATCAGGAATTACGAGCAATCTGGAAAAGTTACCTGACAAAGGTCTTGTTTACTAGACAACAGCTTTCTGGAAACATTACAGTCTGGTTCTCCTTTGTGACATATAACTCCATAAAATTCCTTTATCATCATTTGCAGTGTTGCCTCATGGGCTCCCTCATCCGGTGCATTCTTTATCTGGAGTAAAATACCTTCTGCTTTGCTCACCTTTAAAAGAAGAGATTATTAAATGGGAAACGATCACAAAATTGCAGGAAAAGCAAAAGCAAAAAAAAAAAAAAAAGAGAGAGAGAAAATGGATCATTTAATTCCACACTGAAATTCCACTTCAGCTTTTTGTTAGTATAATAGCGAGAAAACATTTTCCTATAGTAGGATATGAAATTTAAAACTTGGATATTATTCTGCCATTATATTTATCTGTTTGCAAAGTACCTCAGCAGAGCTAAAAGCCAGTAAAATAACCTCCATAAAAGAAAATGGAATATGAATTAGATGGAAAGATAATGCCCTTTAATTTCTTATAGATTCACTTTGTCACCTCTAGTACATTGATGAGATAACTACAGAAGTTAGACTATAATGTTTCTTATGAAAATCCTAGGTACACTAATTTATCCTGAAATACATAAAACAGAGCAGAGATTCTATTTATAGCCAGAAGCTTCTAGATCACCTTAAAGTAATAATTCATTAAATGCTTTGTCCAGACAGAACATAAATCTGTTTTGCACACTGCTTCTGAGTTGGAAAAAAAAAACACAGAGTATTCACAATGTTTGATTTTCTCAGGGCAGGAGGGAAAAGGCAAAGTGCTCTTTAAACTATATGAACCATAGGCAAGAGGCAGTAAAGTGTTGATAATAAAGACAACGAAGTGTTACCGCAGTTCTAAAATTGACCCAAAACTGGTCTCTGTTTTACAAAAGCTTTTGAAAAAAAAAGAATGGAGAATAAATCTGACTGAATGGAAATTAACTTAATTGTGTTTCAAATATCCAGAGATTTTTCCTTTTTTTTTTTTTCTCTTCCTTGAAAAAACCCACTACTCTTAAAATTATTAATGAAAAAAAGAGTGAGAATAGTTTTAGCTCATCCTTATAGATACGTGCTTTGGAATACAGAAACTCTTAGGACAGAAACTTTCAGTCTACGATTCAGTTCTTGCAAAAGCTATCAGTGACCGAACAGAACATTATCAAATTTGTTTGTTCGCCTACCTCAAATACGTTAGGAATCTTCATAGCCAAACAACTGTAGCTCAAAAAGGCATTTACCACAATAAGTATTTCATTTTTGTCTTTGCTGATTTATGAATTGCACTCATTGTGATCACTGAGTACATGCATAAAATATTCCTAAGGTGCTACTTACTCCCCAGTGCCAAGGCAAATGTATATTCCATTTCAAAAAGTGAAAGAGAGATTCTGCTACCATATATCTACCGATAAGAATATCAAAACTGAGTTCTGTATAAGAAGATATGGACATGGGCATTCCAGAATTGAGGAACTAGCAAAGCTCTCCCAATTTAAAATCCAACTTTGCCTTCAGTGGTGACAAAGATAAGCAAAAGTGCATTGCTAAACAGGCAGGCCTTACTCATAAATGTTAACTTCTTACGTGTCTAGGGAGCAAAGCAGAACTACTGAAGTATGTGGAAAAAGCATGATTAAATGACCCCTATATTTAACAGAAAGATGGATGGGCAGTTAGTCTCAGCAACATCTGCAATACCCACAGGCCTTCAAGAGTAGCCATGTGTTAATCATGTCTCACCTGACAATACAGACCTGGACTATAGGTAGAACTATTTTTCCATTACTAGGTAATGCCTGACTTAAATACAATTGACACATATTGACAGGGGACAAAACCTTACTATTTATGCACACTTCTAGCATCTGAAAATAAAAGACTGTCTTCTTATGTGCCCCAATTTAACCCACAGAAGGCTTTCTCCCATAAGAATCATGTAAATCACTATAAAACAGAAAAGACAACCATCTGCTCTAGGGAGTACTGCATGTTTTCAGGGTTGTGATTCTCAAAATTCGATATCAACATTTCTGAAGCATAGTTATGCTTAAGTACAGTATTATCAAGTGTAATTCCAATCTCCATATGTGAAACAACATATTTGTTTGCTGGGACAAAAAACAAAAACCTTATAGTTGTTTTTATCTATTCATTCCCAGAGAGTATCAAGAATTAACTTACATCATTGAGGCTTATGTTTTTTATTGGTTCAAGTAGGAAACTATTCAAGTGGCCCAGATCAGTTTCACAAAACCACTGACTTCTTCAAATAAATCACTTGAGTTTATGACTTCTTCTAGAAGTAACTGTAGTAAAACAGAGTTCAGTGAAAAGACAACGATGCAAGTCTTTAAGTTCTCACACAAATAAATAGGCTTTTCTCTAAACAATATTACACTGCACATTTAGGCTTAGTATGATTTCCTCAGTTCCAAAAAACTGAAGGGAAGATTTTTGGTCTAAGTGGAGAACATGGCAGACAGGTCTGCCAATGTCTTGGAGAAGACAGAAGTTGCTTTGCGTGAGGTATCTTCATCAGTACCCAGCATTATCAGAGGTACAGAAACAACAGTCTACAGATCTCAACCACTTCATTTTTTGCACAGCTGGCCATAGAACAGATGGATTCAAAAGGCAATTCTTTTGAACCATCTGTAACAGATGACTATTTTATTTCTAGTTCAGAAAGCCCTGTTTGGAAAGATACTTTTGTGAAAATAAAAATTGAAGCACCAAAGCACTGGAGAATAGGCCATGAAAATTAGGGCAATTCATATATTCAGAACAGTTATGAAAAAATGTAATTTCAAAGAGCACTTAAAGTTGAATGCTTCATTTTTTTTCTCACTGTTCTTCAACTCTAGCAGCCACCATTACACTTGGTATTTCCAAAAGTTATCATATCAGTCTGGCCATTCTACATTACTTGTCTGTATGGCACCAAACACGCAGCCTTGGAGATCCCTAGAGGAGGTCGTATATGCTGGATAAAATCTAGGTTCCTGTTGTGCTCTAAAATGCAAGTTAACCATGGCAGAAGAAAAGGATGTAACTAATAATGAGAAAGGTTTTTCTCATATACTTTGTGACACCACAACTAGTTTAACAGCAGTAAAGTGTTGTCTGAACTATACCCTTGGGACCAGAAGTATATTGGTGGGAGTCCTGATACTGACTTCACTAAAATCTACCTCAAGCCTTGCCTAGTGTGGGAAATAATTAGTTCAGTCTAAGTCATACAGGGTACCACAGTTCTAGGTGCTGTATTAGAACATCACTCTGTGGGCATCACATTCGCTTTGATAATGCAACTACTGAAAATCTGTGCTAAAATGAAAATGGGTATGTACGCTCTTAATGTGCTTACACTCCCAGCACTCCATATTAAAAAAACACATACAGTTTCCTTTAACCTATGATTGGATCACTGCAATCCATGTGGTGTTTACCACTTTCAGAAAGCTGAAAACAAAAATAATGAAGGACAAGAAAGTGTAAAAATGGAAGTTGTACTAGTCTCCTGCAATTTTGTAAAAGCTAAATATTCTGCTCCAGGTGGAAAAGTTTCCCTTAATAGGAAATCCTGTCTCTTCAGGTCTGCAATGAAAGTCCCATAATTTTCTCTTATACCCTCATCAGTCTTAGTTAATATGAATTATTTATTGCTCTGTAATTTAAGAGAACAAAATTAGTCAGAGAAATATAGAGAAACATACAGAGTTAACTGTACAGCCCACTGCTCTAACAGCTGACAAATCCACAGTTAACTTTCGGGTTTTGCTTGCGTAATCATAATTTAATATCTAAGGCTTGGGTAAGGTTCATTCTGAACAGTGGATCTCAAATCTTAGAGCTCACAATCTCTACTGAAATTCTAACTTTGTATTACATTTATTAATATTTTTCAAGGTACATATTTCAAATGAGATATGTTTATAATGCATTATTTTTTCATTTATTTGCTATATTCAGGAATTCCTTTTTTATCCTTTTTTTTTCTACCATAGGTCATTTTTTAATGAGGGGATTTTTCTTGACTCCTCTTTTTCCCCAGCTCACACTTACAGGTCGCCAGTCTGAAGGGATTAATGAGAACTTTATTTTTTGTCCAGTCCTTGCTTCTTTATATCACCAGAGGTATAGCACACTGATATGTCAAAACAACTCCGAAGATCCTGACTTTACAGTGCAAAACACCAGCACTCTTCCTAAATTGGGTATGTGATTTTTCACTTCTCTCCTAACCAGATGTGCATGGTCAGAGTTGCCAGGAAACGGCCGTGCTCTGAGTAAGGTGATAATGCATCCGCAATATTCCTTTTCTTCACACATTCCTTTTCTTTTGTTCAGTGTCAGTTCATTATGTTATGCATAATTTAAGCTGCAGACTCTTGAGGACAACAGCTACAGATTTTGCTGTTTGTAAAATTACCATCAGCCATGGAGGCTCTATGTACATTAGCAGGCTTTCAAGTAACATGTTTCATGTTGTACTAGGAAAAGTTGCGCGTAAGTGAGAGGGAGAAATTAGCTCACTTAATCATATTCTTCATGAAACTAAAAATAAAAAAAAAAAGAAACAGGCAAAGCAACAAATAAAACCATGACATAATGCACTACCTTCTCCCTGAGGTGGGGGTCAGAAGTGAGCACTATATGAGGATATAGACAAGCCTGCCATAACTTAGGAGTTACGGAGGAAAAATGAATGTCATTTTTTAGTGCCAGAAGTAATAAGATGTGAAGCATCTTTATGCTAGACCTTCACTCATAAATTGCATAACCCACTTGCTGTGACTGGTATGTGAATATCTATATTGTTAAGGCCCTGGAATATTCCTTGGCTCCACTGATGTGCATCCCAGTTTTCTGAGGGCTGCGGGAGCCAGAACAGCACCATGACCCTTCCCAACGGGCAGTGTGAATAGGACCACTTGGTCCCAAGGGAGTTCACCAGCACAGATGTGGCCACAGTCCCTGGAAACGTTCCCAGTCAAGCTTAATACTAATTTATATTAATACAAACCTAGTTCACAGCCAGGTATTTTCTCTCAGTAATCAAATGCTTTCAGTAATATAAACTATAACATGACTAAATCCCAATTCACGCTGCATCTCCTTATTCAGAGTTTCGCCTACATGATGATGAGAGGAAAAAAACAGGATGGCGGTTTCATCCGGGAAAGAAACTTCCTGGTTCTTTTGTGGAGAAGGAATATTACTCTTAACTTTTTTATGTCACACAGCCAGACGCATTATAAATATAAACAGAATTATTTTTACTAAAATATTAAACACACAAATAATAATGTAGATTCCTGGTGACTTTCTAGAAGAGGTAAGATTAACACTCTACAATGCATAATAGTATTTGATATTTTCCAACAGAGATCTCAGAAATAAATCTGAAACATACCTTTTGATCAAGCATAACATTAATTACTCCACCATTTTCTTTAATGCATTTTTTTGAGCTTATTCTTCTCCTGAATAGGTAAGTGCTTCAATTTTGTAAAAAACACACAGTTTGCAAAGATTGCCATCTCCTTCCTATTGAGAAAGGAAATAGTTTTTTGGGGGGCTGAGAAAGCATCCATCTAAGTAATCTTTTACCAAATACTCTCTTTTCTACTCTAGGAAATACCAAAACAAATACCATTTTACTAGCATGGTAATCAAATCCACCAAGAATAGTTCTTAATAAGTTTTATTCATTTGTTAAATGCTGCAAAAAACTTAGTGTGACGGCCAAACTCTTGACTTCTTGCTGCTAATACCCACGGCTAGTAATGTGAAATTATGTTATTTTAGACTAGAAGGATCTTTCTGTTCCCCTTGCAGACAATACCACAAGAGTGTAAATGGTTTCTCACAGATGTATACAATCTATATAAACACAAAACACAGAAATGCAAAAATGATCCAGAGCAAACAGAGGAAAGAAAGGGGAAAAAACAGGAAAACAAAACAAGACGAAGATGTTAGTTTTAATCCAGATCTATTTTCTGATTTAATTCACCCTGTAAGTTGGGGCAAAGATTCACATGGGAGCCTGGGGGGAGGGAAACCAGTGGAAGGGAGTAACCAGTGGAGGGATGGAGGGAAGTGGTGGCTTCTTTCCATAGCAGCGCCTGCCTACTGAGTCTGCAAAACAACTTCAGTGAAAATTGGCGAGGTGTTATTTGTGTGACAAACTACTCTAAAATATGGGAGGCTGGGAATATTTTAATCAAAAGTAGAATTTATGATAGCAGAATGTAAAGACAGTGTCTTGCTTAAGTCATTAAAATGTATCTTCATGATATATCTATTTTCCTGGCTGCTTGTGAGGAGAGTGTATGCCTGTAAAATAAAATATTCTGGTCAGAAAATTCTTTTTACTAGTAATTCTTCAGCTAAGCATGGGGTCTGTATCTCAGAGGGTCAGTATTGTGTTACTGGCAAAGCTTTGTGTTTATTCTAACTTTCAAACTTCTGGAAAAGTTACTTGGTGATAGAAATTTTTCACCATGATTTATTGCAAAGTATTTCTGGCTGTGAGATGCTTGGACAAAAGTGACCATTCAGAGTATCTACTTCCTCCAAATTCATCCTGGACTCACAGGATGAGGTTGCTTCTGGAAAAGCAAAGGTAATGTAAAAGCAAATAAATTAATTCCTGTGTTGGCCAAAGATGCCTGGATAGGCAGGCCATTCAAAAGGAAAAATACAAAATAAAGACAGACCTCTGTCCAACACAATGAGAGTTCCCACATGCACTGCAAATCCTGAACAAGCCTCTGACTCCTAGAACTAAACATTCTCATGGAAGACTGCAAAAAGGAAAGCAGAAGCAATCTGAAAAGTACACTTCCATTTTCCACCTTCCATTTTTCTGCACTAAACATAGGCATACATGAGCAAATGTTTATTAGAAAAGTTTGTTTAGCAGTTAATTAGGAGTAAAAACGAAGCCTACCATTAAATTAGCTAATAGGTTATTTTGGGTTAAAAATAGTATTAGTCTAATTGCCCCAATATATCAACAAAGCTTTTACACCAACTCTGTGAAAAGATTCAACTATCTTGAGTGGGGAGAGAACCAAAAGAGTTGGTGAGAAGCAAATCAAAAACAGTGTGAATGCAGAGGTGGCACTGCCAAGATGCAACTGCAGAGCAATTACTAGCACTGGGCTTCAGATAACAAATGAACCTGTGGTAATCTAGGGGTGGGCTGTTGTTTGAGACCTGAGCACATTTTCCTTCTCTAGGGCGTATTTGATTGTCAGTGAATGCAAGAAAAGTGTTTTCCAATGTAGTAAATAAAGCAACACCCTCACCTGCTACTGTGTAATAACTAAGTGATAAGCTGAAGAATAGGAAGGAGTCACCCTAAGGGGGAGACCAGCATAATTAATTTGAATTTAGGGTTTCAGGAAAGCCTGGAAAAATGAACATGACATGAACATCAGACCTGAATTTATAATCTGTACAATTTGATCTCAGAAAGAGATCTGTAAGAAGGTTCAGAACACACTATACCTCTAAGAGAACTGGCAACACTGTCTTTCTAATGCATACATGTAGATCAGGCAGGCACTCCCTGACAAAAGGGCCCATGAAGATATATAAACCTGTATGTCGTGGCTCTTCTTTTGTTCTCTGAAATTAGCACCTCTTTTGGTGTAGAAACATACTCTGCTCACACAGAAAAAACAACTCTTGTTCCATATTTTAACTAAGAGGTTTATCTTAACTAAGAGGTTACCTCTTTTAACTAAGAGGTTGCAAGTCAATCTTCTTGTAATTAGGCTCTGTTGAAAACTAATTTTAAGAAGCTCTAAGGCACAGTTTAAGTTGCTTTTATGAACTTCATTTTCAATCTTGTCACAAATAAGATACATTAACTTGGGATATATAAAACAGCAAATGTGCCATCACCGAACATTTCCCCTAATAACAACAGAATGCACTGTCTCTGCACTGCCTCCCTCTTTACTACTAGACCTCTGCATGCACTAGTTTTCTCGCTATACTCTCTAAAGCAGATCCTGGCCACATTTAAAGTTTCATCAAAAGTTGTCTTCCCAGGGAATATTGAATTCTATCCACATAGCCTAAGCAGAAAGGTTATTAAAAGGCAATGAAATCAATACATGCTATTACAAGCAGTGATCCTGCTGGCACTCCCATATCTCACTTTGAAACACCAGAAATACCTGAAACTGGTAGCATCGTGAGGCGTAAAAGCTCCACAATGCTATTTTATATACAGTTTGTATTTGAAAATTCCACTGCTCATTAGAAACTAAGGAAAAGCCTTTGAGGAAAAACCTGTAAACAGACCATACATCAACCAGCCAGCAAGCAGAAAGGAATGCGTAAACTTGAGGGAAGGACAAAATAATTTCCTCTGAGTTGTCTGCAAAGTGAAGGCCCTGCCCCTCTGCACTACAGGGATAAAATGCGCCTTGATCCCACTCCTCTCTCTGGATTTTGAGCAAGGCTAATCATCTACTCACCTGCTGAAGGTGCCCTCCCTGGAGGGTCCTCCTCCTGCTTCTCCAACAGCGTGAGGTACAGTTGGAGAGGCCCGGTGTTGTGCAAGAGGAAGGCACACGCATTCCTCAAACACTGTAGGAAGCCCAAGGTGGCAGTAACTCCTATTGTGTCAAACGAATCAACACCTAGAGCCTAACACCTACCTCCAGAGAACAGCCCTCCCCAGGCTTGGAAGAATGAGGAAGTTGTCACTGCGAAGCACAGGTGGATTTTGAACTGGGCAATACCCCAGAGGAGAGAGGAAACGGAGCTGGAACAAGCCCCAGCTCTGCTCTCAGGGGCATTCATTTCCCTTGAGTGAGGGGAATTTTATTCACTTTCACTGCTGAATACTATCCTATCCCCTGCTTCCCTGGGGAAACAAACCTTTCCAGGAATTCTAGCAAAGCCTTTGGCTTTTCTCTTTTGGAACCATAAAACCTTCAAACTCAGAATAGGGGATTGTGCTATTGAACCTATGTGTTGAAAATTAATTAGCAGCTGATAGTCATTTTTAAAACTGAAAGCTGTTGTGGCAGCACTAGGTAAGGAGTAAAGGAAAACTGGTGACAGTCACTGCTGGCTTAATTCCTATAATTTAAATTAATGTTGGTGGAGATCATTAAGGACCTATTTGCCCCCAAAGGCTAGTACTTCCTGATCAAACAGCAAGCTCGGGACCAACCTGAGCAACAGATTACGTTTTTAGCATGCAGAGGGAGCCAGAGAGACCTTTTTCTCATCCAAAAATAGTCCACAAATAATCTGGAGTCCTGTAGAGCCTTCAGCGTGCAGAAGCACTGAAACAAATCTCTACTGTATTTGCCTAATAAAAACATCAAAAGAATTAAGTGATGCCTTAAAAAGCCACAGGTAGAAACCCTCACATTTTCTATCACAGCAGCTTCATGTTGCGGAGACAGAATGCAGTTTGCAGACAGTCACATAGAAAATACATACATAATTGGCAAAATGGAAGTGCAGGGAAGATGACAGAAAAGTTTAGGAGGAGGAATCAGGTGGAATTACAGCACTGGGCAAGTGGAAGCGCTGCCACGGGTACAACGAGCCTGGAGCAAAGCTCTGAACTTGCCCACAGGAAGAAAGAGCAGAATCAGGTCTTGACTGCAACCAGCAGAGAGTGTTTTCAGTGGGTGATGCTGTGCCTTTTATTGGAGTTTAAAGGAAAGCATTGATTTTGCAGGAGGAAAAAAAAAAAAAAACAGTAAGCACACGCAAAAATCAAGAGATGTCAGAAAGACGAGGTGCGCTCCTCGCTTCTGCGGCTATTTAAAGATTAAAGGGGAGCAAGCAGCGGCGGTGAAGGCGAGCGGAGCCCCAAGCGTTACCCCGGAGGCCTCGCTGCCAGCGACTCTGCGCGGAGCCAGCGTGACGGGGCACCTCGGAGCGAAACGAGCCGCTTCTACCTGCGAGGGCACCACAAGGCGGACCGAGGGACCACAACAAAACCACCCCAAACGGCTCCCGCCGCCC